CTTTTATCTCACTTAAATAGGAACAAACTTCTCACTTCTCGTTTTCATGTTGTTTCGAAGCAGATCGTTTCAAACGGGATTAAATCATTAGAAATGAAAGTCCTCCATCCAGATGTTTGTTTGACAGACTCACGCCACCAACCATGAAAACCCGGAGGAAACGGTGTGCATGAGCCGTGGAGCTCTGCAAACCTAAAATAGTCTATTTATGTTTATTAGATGGGGGGGAAATGGGTCATAAAGCACCTATGTGGGTTTTTTTTTTAACTACCGTTAAACACGGAGGTCCTGAGGCTTTAAATCTTTGCCATGTGCACCAGCCGGCGCTTCTGCCCCCAAAACCATCCAGCTGTGGCGCCGACTCACTTAAACCTTTCACGCCCGCCGAATGTGCCCCCCCCCACCCACAGGTCACCTGACGATGGACCTGAACCGCATGCCGCGTCCGTCCAAGTCGGCGGAGAAGTGCGACCTGCGGCTGCTGGAGCACCCGGCCGGGCCGCCGGTGTCTCTGTTCGAGCAGAAGACGGTGAAAGGCTGGTGGCCCTGCGCCTGCGAGCAGAACGGACAGAAGATCGTGGCGGTGAGAGAGAGAGAGAAAAAACAAAAAACACAACGGCCGTTGGCTCGACCGGCGCCGCATCCTGTCGGGACCTTGACGGATGTCGACGTCTCTGTCTCAGGGGAAGGTGGAGATGTCTCTGGAGATCGTGACGGAGCAGGAGCACGAGGAGAGGCCCGCCGGCGTCGGCAGAGACGAACCCAACATGAACCCTCACCTGGAGGAGCCTCAGTGGGTGTCACGCGCACGCACACACACACACACACACACAGACACACACCTCTTCTCATCCTCCTCTCTCCTCCCAGGCGTCCAGAGACCTCCTTCCTGTGGTTCTCCTCCCCCTATAAGACGCTCAGGTTCATCCTGTGGAGGCGCTTCAAGTGCTACATCCTCATCGGCATCGTTCTCTTCCTCCTCCTCCTCTTCCTCGGCGTCTTCCTCTACTCCTTCCCGGCAAGTTGCGAAATTTGTTTTAGGCTTACAACCAAAACCCCCAAGGAAGGAAAACAGTAGTAACATCCTGAATGTGTTGTCCTCTCCGTCCTCCAGAACTACGCCGCCATGAGGATGGTGGCGCCTTTTGGGCCAGCGAAGGCTGCACAGTGATGAAGGTGATGATGATGATGAAGGTGATGATGGAGCGACGAGGAAAGTGGAGAGAAAAGAGAGACGAGCTAAAGAACAACGTCCAGTTATAAATCGGGCTAAACTGATTTATTCTCCTTCCTTTTCTTTGAATGGATTCTGTGATCTTGTTGGAGTTGTGAGTAAACTTCAGTGCTTCATCTGTGTGTGTGTGTGTGTGTGTGTGTGTGTGTGTGTGTGTGTGTGTCTTCGCTGACCCTCCTCACTGTACTGGATGCATCCTCGGCATGTTTTAGCTCTCTAAAAGTCTTTGTGAAGAACCTGCATGAACGATCGTCTTTGCGGCCCTGTGTGCTGCCTTCAGGTGCAGTCAGAACGCAGAGATGTCTTTCCCATTTCTCTCCTTTCTCCTTCCTTCCTTTTTTGTCCTCCCTCTCTGTCTCCCTCCTTATTCCCTCTGCGTCTCCTTAACTTCCTCTTTTCGCCTTTAGAGGATGTTCTTCGGTTATTTCCCCCCTTCTTGGTTTCATGTCGGGATGCCTGAACATTATTATTACATATATTATATTATGTATTTAAAAGAGCTTTACTTCCCGTACGTCCTGCTGATGTAAATCAACGATCATTGAACAACTTGATTTGACAATCGTGCCCTCGCCTGCCCTTTTTTGGTAAAAGAAGCTGTGTTTTCCCGATGTGATCCCTGTCAGTGAATGCACCGGGCCTTCAGCCTCCCGCTTTGTTGCCTTTACATCCGGTAACACTAACCCAGTTTATCTTGACGTAGTTTGTGCTGGTTGCTGCCTTTACGAAGCCTGTCGCCGTCTCAGTGAAGTTTGACTTGTGGAAATGTCTCTTTAAAGGAATAGTTTGACATTTAGACCAAATGTCCATCCCACTGAGCTCCTCTTAGCTTAGCTTAGCATAAAGCCTGGAAACGGGTGGAAACAGTTCGCTCGACTCTGTCCAGAAGTAAAGAGTTCACTAATTAACCAAAGGGCCGTTTTAAACATATTTATCAAACAATGTTAAATGTGCATTACTGAACTGGGGGGGTTGCTTGGTTATTTGATGCCTCTGGACAGGAGAGGAATATTTCACAAAATATCAGAGAGAGAATGTATTCACTCATTGTATTCACTAAGAGAAGTCTCCAGAGTTATGTTTCATATGCTCAAAGGGCATGTTTACTAATCGCTAAAAACTTGCATTTGGAACTATAAAACCAGAAAGTGCAAACAAATTGGTTTTAAATCCAATGCGCCGTGTCAAACTCTGTTGTCACTGTAAAAGGAAGTTGAACATGACTGACAGTATTGATATTTGAATGTATTTTAGGAGAAACAGACCATGTATTTGAACTCATATCTACAATAAGCAATACTCTGCACTGCATTATGTCAATATTATCAATAAAACTGCAATTCTGAAGTGTTTTATTCCATTTAAAATGTCATTATTATTAAGTCTACATCCATTGTTTTTCATTTGAAATACCGTTTTTTTTAAGGACAGCGGCCTCCCGGGTGAAAGTGAGTCAGTTAGAGCAGAATATTTTAACCTCAAAGCTTTAAATACTCCAACACAGTACCTGCAAGAGCTGCAGATTATTTCTTTCAGAAAATCTCAGCATTCCAAATTATATCTGAAAATGAGACGCACTCCCCAGCCAATCAGAGGCCGGCGCTCCAACAAGAAGAAGAAGAAGAAGAAGGCTTTTAACTTAAACCTCTGTCGTTACGGTCATTCATTCTGGTTTAGTTGGCCATGTTTTTTCTGGGCCCCGGCACACCCTCGATGCAGCCCATCTGTGTGTGTGTGTGTGCGTTTCAGCCGTGTGACCTCGGTGCGAACCTGCAGCGTCGACAGAAGTCGGACTGGAAACCCGCTCTGACCGATTCGTCTCTCGAGCTCCCGCAACCCTTAAATTACTGCTTTGCTTTCTCCCACCTCTCCTCCCTCCCATCTGCTGCTTCCTCCCTTCCTTCCCTCCCGGTACTGGCGTCCCGTAACCTCTCTTTCTCGGGGGGGTTGTTGTGGTCACCGTGAACTGCAGGTGAACCTCTGACCACGGAGTGGGTGGAGTTAGTGCAGTGTGGGTGGGCCGTGGCGGTGGTCTGTCCGTCTTCCTCCTCCTCCTCCTCCTCCTCCTCACCCTGCCCTGACTCATCCTCCTCCCTCTGGTAATTTTTGACGCTTATCACTTCCTCTGTGGCCCAAATGTATTGATTTCACTCCAATCCGCAAAGCGGCGTTGAAAATCTCAAGGAAGCATGAAAATGAGTTTTCGACCTTGTGATTCTGCGTCTCCATGGCAACGTGTTGTCATGGAGACGCAACAGATTTGTAATAATCAACAACTTGAGCCACTCTCCGAACACGCTTTATTCTCCTGCTTTGTCTGGTCTCATTCACGTAGCAGCACTACGCCTGAATCCTCCATCGCCTCCACCTCTCCACCCTCCGGCCTCCGCCGCGCGCCTCGTCCAGAGGCCTCATCTCACTGCCACGTTAATCAGGCCCTCTGACGGAAGCAACGTGTAGTTTAAAGCCCGCCGTGCATCTGTGCGTTACGCGCGTGTGTGTGTGTGTGTGTGTGTGTGTGTGTGTGTGTTTAGGGCGGCTTTGAACGTGGACGGGGTCAAAGTGCACCTGATTCCCCAGACGTGATGGAAAAGGGCCGGAGGGGAGCCTGGCGAACAGGATTCTAGATGTTTCATTATCACCTCACACACACACACACACACACACACACACACACACGGACACATGTGCGGCAGCGAGCAGGCCTACAACATCAAACACTCGCGGCGAGTAAAAACCACAGTAGCCCCGTCTGTACCTGTGAGTCTGTGTTTCACACTGCCAGAGTTCAGGCCGCTGATATCAGCTTACACACACACACACACACATGTGCAGACACATGGTATCAGCTTGCGTGCACTCACCGCACACACACACACGCGCACAAAGGTTCACATGTGTACAGATGTGAGTTAAGCGCTGACACCTCGGCCTTCTAACTCGGGTTTACGTGTTTTTTTTTATGGGATGAAATGTATTAAAAATCAATTACTACATTCTATTGACATCGGGCCAGTGGTGGGAGAAGTATTTAGGTATTTTATTAAAGCAGTAATACACGTCGTGAAAGTAAAAGTCCTTCATTTAAAACCTCATTGAAGTTGGTCAGTAGGGAATAAACAGTTCCAGCAGAAAACTGAAAACAATAAGAACAGGATTTTTGTTTTATTTGTCTCTTAACGGAATTACTTATAAACACAATATAACAACATTAAAATTAATCACAATAAATTTTTAAGAACACGTACATCTGGATTATCTCCGAATTATCTGTTAAAAGAGTAGAAAAATCTAGTGGCTTCCAAAAAAAAGAACAACATTTGGCATCTTTCAAAAAGGAGAAATAGTTGAAAAAGTTTCAACATGGGTCCTAAGGTTAAAATATCGCTGCACGCAGCCAGGCCCGATAGCCGATCCTCGTGCGGGTGAATCGATCGTCGATCTGTTGGTGATGCCTCGGGGCTCCGACGGAGCCGAGGAGTCGTTCTCAGCTACAGGTGTGCGGCGGCGCGCCGGATAAATCTCCTCTTACGGTAATTCACTCTCCCCCTTAAAGCACCGTGAACCCGCAGACACGTTATTTCATTTATTTCATACCTTAATGTGGTTTAACGCGAAATAAATACACCGCAGCACCACGGACATCACATAATTAGGCTAAAAGAGCTTCCGGCTAACAGTGGACGTTAAGCTAGCAGCAGTCCGCTGATTGGGTGTGACGTCACGCTCACCGCCGCGTCACTCGCTTCATTTCACAGCTTTATTGTAAAGAACTTAATTTGGAATTTGTTTGAGGATGTCTTCCATAGTTTGAAGTTCCTTTTAGTATAAAAGGTGACAAAATTAAGTGAATTAAATGCATTAGTGAAAAAGTAAAGAAATACATCTCTCAACAATCATATTTCATTTAATTGGTGTTTTTCATGTTCTAAAATGTTTTCTTTCACGATAAATTACTTTATTTCCAAGAGTCTCCCGTGTTCGAGAGCGACCGCCATCTCCGGCCCAGTTGTTTTTTGTTTTTTCCCGCGGCCCGTATACCACCAACACCGGGGCAGTAAACTCATTTCACACGCCGCGCTCCCCTCATTAGTCCTCGCGTTAACTAGCAGCGAGGAATGCAGTCCAACAGCTCCGTGGAAAAAGCAGTATAATTTAACAAGATGCTAATCAGCAGATTGCTGAGGTGTTTGGTCACCGTGTGTGAAGCCTCAGGTAGGGGGGGGGAAGTTGAGAGCTTCGGACTGATTATTCGGCTGAAACTTGTGTTTGAATTAACGCCCTCTGCAGCATTATTATTATTATTATTATTAAAAAGAGATCAAATCATCCTGCGCACATCTTCTCACAACACATTCCTGTATTTTCCCAGGGTGCCCCTCTCTAAACGTCTCCGTCCCCCCTGCAGACGCCCCCCGACCTTCGCTCAGAGGTCGACGCAAACCTCCCGAAAGAGGAGTTACGAGGGAGGCGAGCCCGTGGGGGGGCGGGAGGACGAGGACGAGGAGCGTGAGAGCCGAAGGGCGGACGGACGGACGGACGGACGGCCGGACGTATTCTGAGGGGACCGTTAAAGGAAACGCCCTCGACATTGTGACCGCCGGTAGGTGTGAGAAACGCCCGCGCGTCTTCAAGGCCTCTGACGGATGTCACTCCTGGAGTGCGTGGCGCTACGCACTCTGGGGACGGGGGAGGGGGTACGACCCGGCTCGTCCACTTCCTGCCCTGGGACAGGAAGCCGAGCAGGTCAAGGTGACATAGAAAAACAAAACAACAACCGCCCTGTTTGTCGTGCTTTTACCGAGCTCATCAGGCACCGCCATGACGCGCGTGTGTGTGTGTGTGTGTGTGTGTGTGTGTGTGTGTTTGTGTTTCATTGTGGGAGCTGTAACTTTGTCCTGTCTCACACTCCAACAAACCAAACAATGGCCCGTCTTTGTTCAGCTTGGTATTACTTGACTTCTATTGTTGCGTTTGTGCTGGTTGTTAATGTGTGTGTGTGGCCTTTCATCACACACCCACGTGTTTTTTTTGTTGTTTTTTTACCAAATATCAGCGGGACGTTTTGATTACAAATTAGCGTCGGTGCTAATAGGATTTCAGGCGGCATCGCAGGGACTTTTTATTTCGTCTCGTTAAGGAAGAACCCCGGCTGGCTCGTTAAAGGCGGCCCTTAACGACCTGCGGGGGCCGACAGTAAAACGCGGCGTTGAAGTGAAATGAAGTGTGCGCTTTCATGGGCGTGGCCATCTTTGTCGGTGTGTTTTTTTTTTCTCACCCTCACAGGAGAAGAAAACGACATCTTAGAAACGCGTCACGGCGTTTGTGAGATGATCGTCTCTGGCGATCTAGTTTACGCTGCTGTTGCATCATCGTCCATCCATGATCTGGTTTGAGCGCCGGGATTAGCTTAGCAGCCTTTAGCTTGGAGTCACTCCCGTGTTTTTTTTTTTTTTTTTACGGTCGCTCTCTGGGAGTCACCGTTGCACAACATCCCAGATGGTGAAGTGAGTTTCGTACTGTGATGATTGCTCTATAAATGTATAAAGTGCCCACAGAGTTTGAGAGCAGCTCCATTGTTCATTGTCTCGTCGGCCTCGACAGCGGGAGCCTTGATGCTAAGCTAACTTAGCGTCCCGCTGAGGTTCAGCCTGTGTATTTAGCCCACGGCGATGACGGCGGTTTCTCGTCTCGTGTCTTTGTGGAAGTTCCCGTTCGGCTTTTTACACAAAAGACAAAATGTGATTCAAACACAAACCGTTTCTGATGTTTGTTGTCCATATTTTTGCCGCGAGTCGCTCCTTCGGTTTCTCCAATTGGTTGCCCACGGCAACGTGGGATTCAAACCCCTTTCCTTCCGCATCTCGCCCAGGTATCGCCTCATCTGACGACGCGCCGCTCTCCGCCGCCCGGCCTTCAAAATAAAACATAGCACTCGCTACTTCCTTTACACCTCGCTGCAATAAAACCCGTCCAGACTCCTCAGGTTCACGACCTTCACTGACCGGCGGTGAAGGAGCTTTTTTCCCCCTTTCGTTCCGTCCGTTGTGTATTTCGTGCGAGCTAACGCGTGATATTCTGCCTCCCTGCACACGTGTGTGTGTGTGTGTGTGTGTGTGTGTGTGTGTCATCTCCTACCTTGTCCTGATGCATTAGACGCCTGTGGAATGTCGACTCGCTTTCGGAAAGAGAGAAAAAAAGAAAGCTGGAAAACCGTTTCCAGCCAAAAACGTTTCCAAATCCATTTACTTCAACCCTTTATTGACTCTTTCTTGTTCATATATGTTTTTCTCCCTTTTTTTTTATTCATTCCCTCACTTCAGGACTCCGGTCTGCTTTACTTTAATACGTTATTCCTTT